TCTAAGAAAAATATTTGACAAACAGTGCTTTTCTTCTGGCAGTAAATAAGCACTGCACTTACAACAATTCTCCTTCAGACGCCACCCTTCCAGCAATCACCTTTATCCCAATATTTGCTTAAGCCTGGATTTTACTCTTATTTACAATATAGGAATCAATATGTATGGCTCCTGCAGCCCTCCACCCTGTTAGTTGTACAGGATTGAGACTAGATGAAAAGACAGGGGAAGGGATGCTGACTTTCATCATCTCCTTGGCTGGGGCTGAGAGCAGAAATGAAAAACAGTGTTGGTATGTACAAGCACATTTCTACTAACACTTGAGCAGTAAAGCTTCCTTTCATCCCTAAAGTGTGCCAAGATCTACTGGGAGTCTGTTATTTTGGAAATGCATACATTCAGCACTGTGGAGGCACGGAGGGGATGATGGGGAAGAGTAGCATTTTTCCAATGGTGAAAAGGAAAACCTCACTGAGACCCGAGTGGTGATGCAGAGGAAATACCAGCTTGAACATCAAAGTTGGAATCTGTTTAAGTTAAACATCATTCAAAGGCTATGAAGTGCTGAGATCAGCAGTGTTTAGTTACATATTTATCTTCAGACTACCCCATTTTAAAATCAAAACACCTACTCATCCCAGTTAACACTCAAGAGCAATACCTCCCCATTACCAGTCACCACAGTTTGCACAAGACTGGACAGCCAACTTCTCACTGAGGAAGGCCAGAGCAACCTGGCCATCCCTGGACAAAGCAGGCCTCAAGCAAAAATCTGCTTCTGTCTAAATAGGAAGGAGATTAAAGGGAAAAACTGGAAATCCAGAAGAATTCTCGTAGTCTGGAAATATTTTCTCTAAGAACAAACAGTGAAATACTGTCAAACTGCTCTTTTAAATCCTATTATTTCAGCTGTGCTTCAGTTCTTCCCAATGTTCTCTATATAATAAGCGTTTCAAATGAAATGACATTATTTTAAAACACACTGTAGTAGGCAATTACAATTCCTGAATACTAAAATGGCAATATAACATAAGCAAAATTTACTGTTGTTCCTTAACTTTCTGCCATGTTCATTATATTTTAATGAATAAGGTTTCACATTAATTTTTCAAGCCTTTTCCTCAGAATCACATATTACCTCAGTAATTGTGTTACAGAATTAGGTCTCTATTTACATTCTCCTCTTGAATCCTACAGACAAAACCTTGCTTTGATTTTCCATAGGTCAGCAGTATTACTTCTTACTTTCAGTAGAGCACCACAGAGCTAGCAGCACTGCTCTGCCATGCTAGGACATCCCAGAGACAATCAGTGCCCAGGCCATTGCGTACAACCTGCTGACTATGTGAGAAGACAGCAAGAGGCAATGCCACACAGTAGTGGCAAGTGGGATCTGTGGGCACCAGAGCAGTGTCTGTAAGTTTGGATACACCTGAGGACACTTCACTGAAGGTCAGACTTCTCCTCTACAGTGGACTGTGTTAGCGTTCCTCTACAGTTGTGCTCACCAGCTCACCATTTTCCACGTTCTCTCTTACCTCTGTCACTCCTGAGGAGGCACAGTTCACCTAAACAGCCTTTTCTAATGTGCTAACAGCAAAAAAAAGAACAAATGCTAATATCACAGTCCAGATGACCATGAATATCACCCACAGGTATCACCACTGAAGGATACTGAAGTTTCCAGGCAAGGACAGGAAGAAAAGGAAATTTTGGACACCTCCCACCTATCCTGCATCCCCCTTGGTGGATGACCATGCCCAGTGGGATGGGCACACTGCAGCACAGAGATCCTGTCAGCATGCTCTGCAGATCTGGGGCTGAAAGGCTGCTGGTTGATACCACCAGAAGATCCTGACAAATGGAACCAATCGAGGTGTGCCAGTTTCAGGAAACGTGAAGCTGGCAGAGAGATAAAGAAGTTCAGTTGTCTCCAAAAATGTCCTCAAAAGCCCTTACCACAGCATTCTAAGAAGCAGTTCCTCATTGGCATGACAGTAGATACAGCACTCGTCTGCCACAGCAGACAATTTCTGCATTACTTAAAGGAATGACACAGCCAAACCAAGTAGCTTAAACTGCTGTAAGTGACACCAGTAATTCATTTCATGCTGCAGCCAAAAGGTGAACGTTTTCCCCCAGAAAATCTTCAGCCCTCCCCTGCATAACCAGCTGTCAACTCTTGACAGAAAAAAAAGAGGAAAGAAAAAGGGAGTAAGACAATGGGCAATAGACAACATGAAGGTAGCAGACCAGAAGGTGCCACACATAGGAGAAGGTGGGGATGTCACACAATGCAATGCTTTTCACTTATGATAAGTAACTCTACTTTCCACCTGGGACAAAGACTGGGAAGAAACTGAGAAGTCCTGAGCAGAAATACAGATGCTGGCCAATAAGCAGGCCCTGCTTGCCATCTGTCATAGATTTTATTTCCTGTTCTCCATGTCTCCAGCAGCTGGTCACACTGCTACGTGTGAGCATGCTGGGCAGAACCAAGATTCAGGGATGTCTTTCCTCCAATGAAATGTACATGCATTAAATCTAGTTATTCTGTATGCTCTCAGTGCTTTAATTATTAATGTTGATTAACTACAGGAAATCTCATTCAATTAGAATCTTTTTTTTTCCCTCATCTCTGAGATAGAAGTAAGTTTCTCTATTGAAAGATCACTCTGCCCTTGTTCCTTGTGCAGTTATGGAGAACACAAATTAAATCCTAACTCCTGGGACACTGCAAGCCATGAGATGTTACAGGCACATACTTGGGTTCTACTGTTCTGTTACTAAAGCAGGTCAAGCTTTCATCCTTGCCATTCATCCCTGGTTTCATCCTATTCCTCTCTTCACAGCTACTATGCTCTTAATTCCCTTCTGTTTCAAACTTGTGCCCATTCACTTTATACATCCCCACAACAGCAGGGGCTTTTTCATAGGTAACGCTTCCCTCACATCCCACTTTCTCCATGCCAGAACTTGCTATATCCCCTTCTCTCCACAGCACCAATTCTAAGGCTCTACAACCCCTACCCCACACCGTGACAATCAGATATCCTCCTCCACTTCCCCAGTTGATGCACTGTGATGCCCAGATGTTCCCTATGGCTCTGCCCTGCTGCTGCTTCCCCAGTCTCCCTCCATAGCCATGGCTCGCTGTAACCTCCAGATGACAGCAAGCACTGATTCCAGAGGCAGACACACAAGTGCTGAACAGGCAGGCAGCAGTACCCCTTATATCCTCACACTTTCCTCTGTTTAATGATTTTCCCTTAAATCCACCACATTTTGCTCACTGACACCCAGCACCTCTCTCGATGCTTCAGAATTAAGTTTTGAACTCTGCACCAGCATCGCTCCACAACACAGATTTCTATCCGCTTGAACAGAAAGCCTTGCAAGCTTTGCCAGCTACCACTACTCCTACAGTTTCTTCCATGGCATGCATCTGCTTGCAGAGGATGGGGAGGTGCCCTCACTGTTGTCCAGAGGGCTTTCTGGAGTGCTGTCAGCCTGCTGCATGCCAAGCTCTCTCTGACAGCTGCATCTAACTCCCACTGAGGCGCTGTGTTCTTCAAGTTGGCCACCCTGAAGAGTGTTTTGCCTGTGTTTGGAGTCAACAGACACATACAAAGCAAACCATATTCACTAGGGGTGAGGGGGTCCTAAAGATCCTGGGTGTTCTGTTGTGTATAGAGGTACAAAATAGCCCAAGATGAGGAAAAAAAACAATCTCTGAAATATCCACAGATCACATACTTACTAAAATATAACCATACGTACTTTAAGAGAGGGAGAAATATCATGAATAATTCACTTGGCACATGGAAAGCACTGTTGTGTATTTCATATGTGTGAAATAAATAAGCAGAAATTACTTAATTTGAATAACACTGAACACCTGATTCCAGAGACTGAGCAACACTTCACGCTAAGGCATGTAAGAGCTCTTGGCTTGTTGACATTTCACCAGAACAGAGGAAAATTAGCAAGTTGAAAACAAATTTATATTGCGGCTTGCAGATAAATATTCACAGTGTATCCACTAGGCTCCTAAACAGCACCTAACTTGAGCCTTGACATTATGAAATGGCTGCATTTCATTGCTCGTGTTGTTACAGAAAAGGCTGAGAAATTGTACCTGAGATGACAATGTTATTGTTTAGTGTCAATCATGCAGAATCCAACATTGAGAACAGTAAGTTGAGCTGTGTGTGTTTTTACATTTGACTCTACAGTTTCTCTCCAGAATTTTGAAGTAGAGCTCAGGAAAACAAAAAAAAACTCTTTTTTTTTTTTTGAGCATCTGTTTTCCCACCCATAACTTTGTCTGTCTATACAGTAAATGAGACTGGAAGGCTCCTTTACTTATAAAAAATCCCAGTAAGGCTCTTCTGCTAACTGTAAACTCCATGCTGTACGAGGATTTCCATGGCATTTGCCTCCTGCCATCAGAGCAGCCAGGTAGTATTCAGAAAACCATAAATAATTTATCTGTGCTGTAATCGAAGCTTTCAGATATAATAATCAGGCACATTTCTCCAGAAATGTTTTGATGAATAACAAAGTATTTATCTTCCAGGTGCTAATTAGTCTGATTCGGGTTTGAGCAGTGTTTTTTTTTTTCCTCTGCTAAAACTGGAAAAGCAAGGGACCTCTCCTGTAACATAGATGGATGTAGCTCTGCTTCAGTCTGTGACTATTATGTCACATCTACCTTTTCTTTAAACACTTCTAGGATCTCTCACCTTTAAAAACAGGAGCAGTGTGTGCAAAGAATCTGCAGTCATTGCTGAGACTTCTTTCCTCCTGTGGCTCCAGCTTCAAGTTTCAATGCCAGCCACATAAACATGGGAGCATAAACACGGCTAATGTCTGCTCCGCTGTCTCCTTCAGTGTTACATGTGTGCTCCTGTCTTCCCACTGCACAGCCAGGCAATGCAGGTGGCTTTGTTTCACTCTGAGGAAAGAAACCCAAGCGCTATGAACAACCTCGTACTTACTGAGCTCGGCAATGCTCCCCACACGTGTAGCCAGTAAAGACTGCTCGATGGTCCTTAGCTCGGACTGGCTGAACATCTGCACTTCCCCAGGCTTGTTTGACCGTTGCTGGTCTTTGTGAAGGTTCAAGCTGTCCGGCAAGCAGAGAACACCTACAGTGAATAAAAAAAGAAAAAGAAGCTCCATGTAATTTCAGTCACTACTGCTGTCACCACCTTGTATTCGTGGAACATTTTAAGGCTCATGTGAGTAGAGCCCAAAGACAATAAGTATTTGTAACTCAATGTCACAGATGACTCATGTTCTCAGAAGTGGCCCTCATTAACTCTTCTGAATGTCCTCAAGTCACTCATGATGTCACCAAGGGATAATGCTTACAGAAAACCCCATGTATTTGCCCATGGTGGAGTCAAGAAGGTTCCAGAGAAGCCTTCTGGAATCTACTTCAAAACCATGATATCTCAGCAACGGAATCCTTCAGGATTGACTTTAATATTATACGTAAGAAGGTTGATACATTTACAGGATTTTCCTGTATGGGGAATTCCACTGACAGTTGCCAGAATAATAGGCAGCATCAAGATGCCTGCTGTGTCATTGATGAGTTTATTGGATTTCTTTTGTAAATACAGCTCCTGACAACTGAACTGCATAGATTTCAAAAGCCCATCGTGCAGAAGCCCTAAAAGCAGCGAACTTTGATGGGGAGGCATTGATGCTGACATTAAAAAAAATTTACAATACACATCCATGAAGGCGCAAAAGTCAATTTCTGCCACGATATCTAAACCCTCGGGGGCAGACAGAGGGCGTGTGTTTGTTAGTCAAAATCACTGTCATGCTACAAAACATGTAGCAAATGCTTCATTGCCAACCTTGAGTAACAGATACATGGAAGCCCAGCCTGGACAGTAAGCTCTCTTCCCGTCCTGAGCTCTGAGAACATGCAACTATGGCCATGCTTATCCACAGTATTGCCTTCCAAATCCTTCTGGGACCACACAAGTGGACACCCCTGGGAGGTAGTGGGGTTGTACCTCTTCATGGCAATTAAATTCTATCTTATCTCTGATTGTGGAATTTGCAACAATTTGCTTTGAAAATAAGACAAAGTAGGAAATGTATTTATTTTTTTTAATTAGCTTGTATTCTTCATTCCTTTTAAGCACAGGGGAGAAATCCCCCTTAAAGACCAAGAAAGCACTTTACAAAAGGCTTTAAGAAAAAGGTATGTATCTCATATCTTCAGGAAGTAACCGGTGACTAAATCTATTAATCAGTAATTCTGTTAGTATCATAGAATCATAGAATGGCTTAGACTGGAAGGGACCTCAAAGGCCACCCAGTTCCAACCTCGTGCCACAGGCAGGGCTGCCACCCACCAGATGAAGCTGCCCAGGGCTCCATTTGGCCTGGCCTTGAATGGCTCCATGGCTGGGTCATCCACAACTTCTCTGGGTAACCGGTACGAACACATTTTAAGTCCCTTGCTGAATGGCTGCCTTAACCCCTTCTTTATTTTGGTAACAACCCACCAAACATCACTGCTTTGGAGCACTGCAAGGCCAGGCAATCAATGCTCCTGGAAAATGATGTTTCTCAGACACTTTTTTAGCTCCGCCAGCTTCACATACATTCCCCTCTCTGATTGCAAACAGTCTGGTCTAAGTTCTCTTGCAGCATGGACCTAAAAACACCCATCTTGAGAGAAGAGAAGCGGTGAAGGCTCAGTGAGCACGTCCTGCATGAAAAGCAGGGGGCACACATTGGAAAAAACAAGACCAAAATCCTCACATCCCACAGCTGTAGATAGCAGACTGAACCTGACCCCATTCCCACACAACAGCAAGACTGGGTCAAATGCCTCAACAGCCTGTTTGAGCACTGGGGATAGAAGAGCAGTGGCAGCCATTAATTCCAGTCCTGATTGCAGGGCCAGGGTTGTGGCCACTGCAGTCAAACAACATGAGTAGGGAGGGGAGCTGTGGGCAGGGATACAAGGCATCTGACACAGCAACAGGGACTGAAGGATTAAAAGCACTGAGGTAAGGGGCAAAAAGGGGCAGCAATGAAAAAATATTAAACAAGTAATCAAAAATTACCAAACAAGCTTTTCAAATTCACTTCTGATCACTTAGTGTTTGCCTTGAATCAACACTTAGCATGATATTTATATTCTGTAGATGTGCAGATCTTGAGATGTTCAACACCTGGATTTAGAATGCAGACTTGCCTGCATATTTTAATAAGTATTCTCTCTCGGAAATGTTTCTCATTTATTTAGATTACTCTTCATAATTTTAATGGATAGAAATTAAGACAAAATTGGAAGAGTCTTCCCTGAAGAAAACAGATGTGTAACATCAAATACTCTAAAAGACTTCTAAAAACAAGAAATAGTACAAACAACTGTATGTCATCTTTAAAAGAAAAAGAATACCCAACAAGAAAATAATTAGTGAAAATACATGTTGAAGTGTGTGTGGGGAAAAAAACCAACACAACTGTTTTAAGGTACCTTTATGAACAGGATTGAAATGGTTTAAAATCCTAAGGTGCACAGGAAAGCGGTCTCAGAGTGATGGGCAGTGGCACACAGATATTTTATTCTCAATTTAGTCTCTGCCTGTACCCACAGCCGCGCTTCCCCTTACAAACAGCCCTGATGATTAATTACTCTGTTCTGTAGCGAGGGGAGTGTATTCTTAGGTTTTCAGATGAAAAGTGCAAATGAAATGCAAAATGTACCATTGTTAGAAAACTTAGCAAATTATAGGATATGTCACGCCAAAGGGTTTTTTTCACTTGAGTGTGACATGATTAAAGCCATGCAATAGCCAAACATCTGATGCTTACACGCCAGCTTCACAACTATAATTGACCACAGCGGGTGACCAGTGGTGTGCTGGAAGATTTTTTTATAACTCTCATCATTTTGCTGGAGAGCATTTTCTTTTTTTGCCAGAATGGAGAGAGGGAATTCTATGCTCGAGCACACAACTCTGCCACTTTCCTAGCTTCAACTGTTTTCCCCAAAAACAATTAAAGAAAAGTTACTGAGATGCTTTTTGGCAGAAAAACTTGCTCTATTTTATCAGTGTTTCATGTAAAGCTCAAACTTGCTGATGAATGAGTATGGAAGGAAATTGCTCCCTAGCAAGAAGGGAGCATGCTGAATTGAAGATGAATGCAAAAAAAAAAAGGTAAAATCTTTGTGATTATAAATGTCTTCTTCATATAAATAGAAACATTTAAATAGTCACCACCTGCTTTCACTGGCTTGGCTACAGTTCAACCTCCTCACGTTAATTCCCTGCTGACTGGCGTTATTCACTTGCTTTGTCAGCCACAACTTCAGCCTCACTGCGCTATACTTGATGCACAGGTAAGGATCTCATGTTTCCAGCAGCCTGAAAGACAGGGCATTTTCCCTTGCTTTTTTTGCTCTTTTGACTGTTGCTGTCATTCCAAGCCAAAGATTTCTGTGCAGTATCTTCAGAAATAACTATAATATCTGTCTTTTCTCTCTCCTGACATTGCTAAATGTCCTTCCTTTCTGCATGGTTACTCAGCCCTGTGCTCTTCTTTGCCCATTGCTTTATTCCTCATCTTCCTTCCAATTCACTAGAGTAGAAATCAAGCTGTCTGTTCTAGCAGGATGAATGTGGGGCCAAACGCGACATGCCCCTGGCTGCTCCATGTCCATGGTGATGTACGGCAGCCATACGTCGCATTTATGACTGCTATGAATCACTGGAGCAATGAGAAATAACCAAAGCATTCCTGTGTGTTTGGCTTTTGTCACATCTTGTCATGCTTGGCTCTAAGATTCTTGGGGCAGGTATCTGTCTAAAGCATCCAGAATGGATCAAACCCAACCTTTGCTTTATAAGCTGCTGTTTTTTATTTGCCCTTGGCCTCAGCTTGCCTTGCAGTGTGTAGGTAAAAGACTGCAGAAAAACAATAAAAATACTTTAAAATCAGCAGCATGCCAAAAAACTCCCAGTGACAAGCTCTTAGTGCTCTCCTCCCAAATCTTCAGGGAGAAAAATACAGCCATCATAGGGAAGATCCAATGAACAATTAATACACTCTACATTTTTCCTGCCCTCTGGGCTCAGTGGAAACATAAGCCGGAGCTCCCCAAAGACCTAAAAATCTCAAACCAAAGAAGTATTGCACAGAATTGACATTGAAGATGCCTGAACTTGAGGAAGCAACAAGTTTTTCAAAACCTCATGCAATGTCTTCTGAAGCCAGAGGTACCTGGTAGCTCCATTCTGGTTTCCCCACGCAAATTCCCACTTGTTGTGCTGGGAAGGCAGATTTTAGCACAAATACATGCACATTCTTGCACGGAGCTGTGGGTACAGCCCTTGCAGCATGGCACAGGTGTGCGCATATCCCACTAACATCCCACATGCAGTGCTGCACAGCAGCCCTTGGCAGAAATTGTCCCAGCGTCTCAAAGATCTGAGGACCCAGAGCAGATCTAACACTGGAAACAACAGCAGCTGGGAAACCTCCTCGGCTCTCAGGGCAGGAGAAGCATGGGTTTGGGTAGCCCAAATTTCACCTAAACACAGAGAAGGCATCAAAAAAATATAAGCCTCCTCCACTGTTCCGCTATTTAGACAAGTATCTGCATTTATTTCTCTGCCAGCTGTTGCAACTGTTGCAAAACAGTTGATTCCTGGAGTGCTGGCACCTATAGCGCCCATATGCCAGAACTGGCAATAGGGTTTCACATCCACTGCAACATTGGAACCTGGAGGCTTCCCACAGTCTGTTGTTGTGACTACCCAGCTATTTTCACTGGGCAAAAGCAGATCAAAGGGCACAATGGTAAAAAATTGATATGTACAGTCTTTTGTACACACTCACTACATCACCACGAATGGCCACACAATGGGAGAAGTAATAAAATGGCAAGTCTGTTTATTTGGAATGGGAAGCAATGTTTTGGGCAAAGCCATGTTACATCCTTAAATGTTTTGTAGTTCGGTCCCCAACCTGCTTCCTCAGCTAAAGAAACAGTTCAAGCACTAAGTCCAGCTCAGAATAATGAGAGACTGAGAGGAGAGATTTAGACCAGATATAAAGATTTTTAATAAAGGTGGTGAGGCACTGAAACAGATCGCTCAGAGAGGTG